AACTCCCAGAATTCCCCAGCAAGCATGGCTGGCTGGGGAATTCTGGGAGTTGAAGTCCACATATCTTAAAGTAGCTAAGGTTGAGAAACACTGACTTAGCCTAAGTATTTGTGCAAACTATGAATACTCCAATGATAGGCCCATCAAAAACATACTCATTTGCATAGGAAGCTTTTCCGGTTCAATTTTTTCTGGGAAATCTGTATCTCTGATTTTAAGGCTCCTGACGGTATTTTCCTACGTTTCTCAAAATAGTGGGAAACTGTGTGGCTCATTTTCAGTAACTGGCCAGATGAAAATCTGGAGGCCAAAAACAAAAGTGTTTTCTTGTTGCCATCCCAGAATGTTTCTGTGAGCTTCAGCAGTCTGTCAAAAGGCAATTATAACAGCTTCCTACTTTGATCCCTTACCAATTGAAACCCTTGCTTCCTATGTGAGAAGCAATAGCAAGATCCATCAAAACCTAGACAAATAAGCATTCAAGTACCCTAAGACAGAGGCGTCCTTAGTGCTAACAGAGTGGAAGAGCCACTTTGAGCAACAGACATGGGGGTCAGAGTACCACAGGGATGCGATGGGAGAATTTTGGTGGGCTATGTTGCTTGTCCTGCAAACTTCTAGGCTAGGAAGAGATGCAACTCCCAAATTTGGCTAACTTTTCAATGTGAAGTTGGAGTTGGGAGGTGATATCTTGTCCACCACCAACAGCAAAACATCTTGAAATGGCACTGATGCTGCTCTTTTGTCAGTCTTCATATTCACTTAGAGAAGGCAGGTCAGCAGGCAGAAAGTTCAAAAGGGAAGAGAAACTGCGATGCAGGAACTGATGTTAGACTCTGATCTGAATCGCTATTGGCATCTGCCCAATTATGATAAGCCTGGATGCCAGCCTTGGAGAGCAGTGGTCAACTGTCATACATGAGAGAGCAAGACAGTTAATAGATAGTTATTTACTTTTTATTTGTCCCACCAAGGACAGAAAGATGGGCTTGTGAGATTCTCTTCATGTGCCCAAATAATTTGGCTGACTTTGGACATTCATGCACTTCAGTTTAGATGGGCGGTGGAAGTCTTCTGCCTTAACCAGCAATAAGTCTTGGGCATTTTGTTGCCCGCAACAGAAAGACAATGATACCTTTTCTAAGATAAGCTACAAAGTCAAGATTCAATTCAGGCCAATTCTTTTGGTCCCCGACAGAAAGCCCCAGAAGCTGATCTCTGTCTCCTTTTGAGGGCAATAAAAATACAGCAAGAAATTACATTAGTAACATTTTGCTTCCCTTGCATGACAAGTTAAATCATTCTGCCTCAGAGGAGGGCTGACCCTGGAATGGGATGGAAAGGATTTTATTGTCTCAGACAAATCATCTCTTCCAATCCCAGGGGCAGCCTTGAGTTGTTAGGGAAGGAAGGTAGAGTTGCAGGCATGCCTACGGAATTGAAATAGATGCCAGTCTAAATCAGTCTGCACTCTTATAATGCTCCAGGCACTCACTCTGGTCCAACAACAATTTTCGATTGAGTAAGCAAACAAGAAAGGCCTGCATATATGTGAAGTTCCACTGAGTTTTTTGTTACCAGGGTCTTGCATGTTCTGCTCCCCTAGGAAGCAATGCTCCAAAGATGTAATTTGTACATGTTTGCAGGAATTAAAGTGAAGATCCATTATCACTGTCTCTGGTTTAACCTCTGCTTCAGACTTTGCAAGCCAACTAAAAAAAAAAGGCATAACAAATTCATGTGTACAAAAAAGGAAAATATTTATAGTTTTACATTCTGTTTATAAAGAGAAAACAATACAGTATACCAAAAGTTTTGTTTCAATAAATAAAACATTTGTCATTCTGCTTGGCAAAGCATGGGGGGAGGGAGTTAAATTAAAATTAAAATTGTTCAGGTAAAGTTATTCAAGGGGGGAGGACTTCATATAGTGGTTGAAACGAATATGAATTTTTTTTCAAAACAAAATCAGGGGACTATGGGGATTACATTCCACAAACTTTTCATTAACTGTAAACACAATTCTGGGTTTCTTAGACACAATCTTTAAAAAATTGGCTTTGTGGTGTTTGAGTATTTTAAAAACCTGCTTATGGGGCTATTTATAGCCACTCACTACCTACAACTGTAATTTATTTTGTAGGTAGGAAAATATTGAACACATTTTGATGGGTTATATTTCTTGCCAGTTTAATCCCATGAGAAGAAATGCAGTTGCTATCTCCAGACTAACCAGTGTTTTACTCCCCAAATCATGATGTTGTGCCAGTGTTCAAGAGCGTATGGACCTGTGCCATACACTGTTGGACTTCAAATCCCATCCTCCTTGATCATCAACCATGCTGATAGGAGTTGGAGTCCAATGGCCACAGGAAAAACTCAGGGTCCTTGTCTGCCCCTTGCATAGGCTTTCTTTTTTGAATTTCTACCCAGTTCAGCAGTCCATTTTTCTAATACCTGTCTGAAATAGAATTCTGTGCGGCAAAAATCTTGCTACACTAAGGTTGCCATAAAAAACAGAAAAAAAATGCTCCTATGCCTTTAGCCCGCTGCATGACAAACGGAAATACAACAGATGAAGCCTTTTCATCACTGCCTGAAGCTCTACATTAGGAAAAAAGCTTATACTAGTTTCATTGATATCTGTCACTGAAACTGTTTAAGGCACAGAAACCTTGCCGGAAACAAACAAAACTCATGGCAACAAAAATCTTCCTAATACAACTATATCCTGTGTAGGGCCATGTTACTCATGAGCCTATCTTTGGAACCAAAACACAGACACTGTTTTTATAAATCTCCACTGAAGAGGTTCTTCTCAAAAAGGGGCTCCTGACTTGCAATCAAGGGGGGGGGGCGGGCTGGGGCTCTTCCCCAATCTCTGCTTCACACATTCTGTCACCGTTGTTAGACGTGGTCCTGGATCAGAGAAGGGAAGTCTGTGTTGCAGTCATCTCCTGCTAGACGGCTTCTTGCCATGAGAGAAGGTCTGGAAATTCCTTCAAAGAAGCCATCTATTCCACCCTTGTCCCACTTCCCTATGCCAGGAATGCTGGTCAGGGGTTTGCAGAAAGAGGCACATGAGATGGGCTGACATTCCAAGTTCTGTCTTTGTCACATCACTGGAGGCCTTCCCATGGCATCTTGGTGTTGTGGCTGTTGGTACCAAGGTCCAAAGCTGTTGATGTAGCTGTTAGGAGGCAGAGGGGGTCCTTTGCATGCCATGGGGATGTCCCAGAGTGGAGGTATGTTGGGTGAACACGGGGACAAAGATGAGGAGCTATGTAAATTGTCTTCTTGGATGCTGGAGCCCTGCTTCATAATCTTTTTGAATTTGGAACGTTTGTTCTGAAACCAGATCTTGACCTGGGATAAGAGAGAAAGGATGCAAGGAGAGAATGCATGAACAGCTGCAATAAAATTGGGGGGGGGGGTAATCCAGAACTTTTTGCATCTACATTTTTCTACTTCCAACGGGTTTTATTTTCTTCCTATCTAATGTTTCTCCTTATGGCCATTTTAGACTGAAGAATTCTAGATGTTTTTTTCTCACTGGTTACGCAACATCCTTACAATTGACACCTTAGCACTTGAAGTTCAAAAATGGATATTGTTGGATAAGCCATGAAATGCTAACAGGAAGAGCATTTAGATTTGGGAATTACAATGATTTTTTAAAGTTTCTTTTGACTCTGTTAGTTCTGTATTTAAGAAAACTTGGCAACAATTCCATTTGCATCTTTTCAAGATTTTATTCACCTAAACTTCAGGTAAGCCATGAACCCAGACCTACATGGATATCTAATAAAAAGAAAGGCCAGTGCTGAATCTGACGTGATTTTGATACAGTAAATCTGTTGCCAAATATAGGAAAATACAAAAGCGCGCGTGCACACACACACACACAAAGAACTTTAGTTGTATGAAACAAGCAACCAAAGAAAGTGTCAGATACTATGTAAAACTAGAAAACAACCTGAAGGAGGGTACACAACCAAGATAAGAAGCTATTTAACTTTTCCCCTTTCTACCACTGGCCCATTCAGAACCACTCCAGCTGCATTTCTCCCTAGGTCAGTGTTTTTTAACCTTAGCAACTTTAAGATATGTGGCCTGCAACTCCCAGAATTCCCCAGAATGGCTGGGGAATTCTGGGAGTTGAAATCCACACATCTTAAAGTTGCCACGGTTGAAGAACACTGATCTAGGTGGTGAGAAAGATCCAGGAGAGTGTTTCTCGGTGGCCTGCAACTCCCAGAATTCACCAGAATGGCTGGGGAATTCTGGGAGTTGCAGTCCACATGTCTTAAAGTTGCCACGGTTGAAGAACACTGATCTAGGTGGTGAGAAAGATCCAGGAGAGTGTTTCTCGGTGGCCTGCA